CCTCCTAACCAACCATCCCCTCACCCACTCCCTCCCTCCTTTCCTCACCTTGGGGAACTTGCTCTCCTCATCCACGAGAGCCATGATGTTCATGGGTTTGGCGGCGATGAGGTCCAGTGCGTCTTGGTTGTCCAAGAACTCGATGTGCTGCCAGCTGATGCCCTCCAGGTTGTACTCGGCCTGCTCCAGCTTGAAGATGTGACGCACGAAGAACTGCTGGAGGTTCTCGTTGGCGTAGTTGATGCACAACTGCTCAAAACTGTCGCACAGAGAGAGACAGAGTTTAGTTTTAGTAAGAGTTTTACAGCACTTGTAACACAACATGGTCATATAAGTGCCGAAGATTTTTAAAAATAGTGTTTGTAAGAGTTTTACAGCACTTGTTACACAATATGATCATATAAATGCTGAAGATTAAGGTATCACAAGAGAGTACCAAACACAACCAAAAAAAAGCCGAGAGATAAGGACGACAGATGTTTGATAGGAAAGAAGGAGAAAACCACACAGACAGAGTTTTAGTAAAGGTAAGTTTTACAAAACTTGCAACACATTCTTAAGTCATATTATAAGTGCCGAAGGTTGATGTGTAGGCAAACAAAGAACTGTGGGAGGTTTTCGTTGGCCTAGTTGATGAAAGTTCTACATGGGAAGGGAACTTGGATCTCCCGTGAGCCACATACAACAGTTCTCACGTGTTCTTGTCAAAATTCTCACCTGTTTTATGTCAAAATTCTCATCAGTTCTCGTCAAAATTCTCAACTATTCTTGTCAAAATTCTCACCTGTTCTTGTCAAAGTTCTCAAATCCGAAGATGTCGAGGACGCCAATGGACTTCCTGTAGTGTCCCCCGCCGGCCTTGGGCTTGTAGATGGCCTGGTTGATCTTCTCCACGATCCACACAAACATGCGGCCGTAGATGCCCTTGACAAACGCGTCCCTCACGTCCAGCGCGTTGCCCTTGTTCAGCGTGTAGGTCACGCTCTCCCCCTTGGCGAAGATGGTCTTTGTGGTAAGCGCGTCGATCAGGTCTTGAGCATCCACCTGAGGTGAGATACATCAGAGGAATTTTTTCTTAAAATGGCATAGGACAAGCATGGACAATTAATACAAGCATGGACAATTAATAGACAGCTGGAAAGAACAATTGTGGTGACAGAGTTGTGGTTTATAAGACGCATGATGCATATCCCATGGACAGCTAGAAAAACAAATGAAGAAGTCTTAGTTGAAGCAAATTGCAGACAACAGCTTATGACGAATATACGAAAGCAACAGGCAAATTTCATTGGACAGACAATGCGGAGAGAAGCATTGTAACAGCAGGCAAATTTGATGGAAAGAGAGGTAGAGGCAGACAGAGGGAAAAGATACAGGACAAGATTACAATATGGCTGGGAGCAGCAAGAACAACAGACACCATCGCTGTAATGCAAGACAGAGTGAAGTGGAGGTCCGTAATTGCCCACGCCAGTCAGCAAGGCACCGGATGATGATAATAGGTTTTACGCCCCTTATCAACACTATAAGGTTATTTAAGATACGGGACCTCCAAGTTTAACGTCCATCTCCGAAAGGACCGAGCCAAGTGGGAAATTCGTGTAAAGTGCCTTTCCCAGGGACACAACGTCGGGCCGAGCTGACGATCGCACCCCTAAGCCAGCTATCTCAAATTTACGAGTCCGGTAGCCTAACCCCTAGGCCACTGACAGAGTAGTTTTAACTTGTGTGGCATTGTGGTGAAATCAGGCACTTCCCTACCCTAGAATTACAAAGTTGTATCTGCTCAGCACCTAGTTTTGAGAAATTTAACGTAAAAAATGTTGAGTATCACAACATGTCAAGCTTTTTCTAATGCTATAGTTTGAATATCTTAATAATGACTCCGAATAATCTTATGATTTTGTTAGAGATAGAGCAGATAGAACGTGTGGTCTCTGACCTCATGGTCTTAGTAACTCAAAACGGCCAAAAATGTCAGAACTTTGTAATTTGAAGGTAGCAACTAGTTGAGATAGAATAATGAAATCAAATAAACCTTCTTTTTTTCCTGCCTCTAAGGCATTTTCTTAGCCATTTTCATTAAATTTCACTTTTTGGCTCAACATCTGTGATCTCTGCTTAAAAGCGAATTTCTGTAAGGATTTCACTGAAAAATGTTGACAAAAGGGTACACAAAAAGTAATTTAACTTTTGCAGTTTCTGAGGACACTCAGGCTTTGGGAGTCAGCAAACTTTGGCAGCCAATTTCTCATGATATCAATACCTCAATTTGCCCAAAAATTGACGAGCGCCCGATTCCAACACACCACGACACATTTCAATACTGCTTGTATTTGTTTGGGTAAAGAGGAGCACATCGGCACTAAGACAATCATTAAAATACTGCAATTTTTTTTATTGTTTTAAAGCAGAAAAAAATAACGGGACAACAAAATTTTTAAAAAAGGAAAAATCACTTACTTCTAACTGTCTGGCAACTTTGTTGATGTAAGAAATGTCCTGGATTTCTGTGGCTTCTATGTTGTCCAATTCAATCTCTGTCAAACAAAAACAAAATCACAAGGACGTAAGTCTACCAACTGACATGAAAACAAAAACCTTCACGACTGAAAAGCCGTCATGAAAGTGACCAAAAAAGGGGAAACATAAATAGTTGAGGAATTTAAGTATGAAAATTTCAACAATAATTCAAGGCTTTAAACGGGTTATCATTGACAATCATCATCATCATCATCAACATAATCATCAACATCATCATTACTACTACGTTAAGACTCTGTGTAAGACAAAGAAAGGCAGCTCGTCAATCATCATCATCATCATTATTATTATCATTTTTAATATTATCATCATTATTTTTCCATATCATCATTATTATTATTCTCGTACTTCAGGACATATTGCGTTGTCGTCACTTCTTACCGTTATACTTGACGTTGCCTAGATGGAGCAGGGCGGCCAGGATTTTGAGAATCTCCCACATCTCCGAGTCGTTGAACATGAGCACCTTCATGGCTGAGCGGATGTCGGCAAAGTCCTTGATGTCGTCGCGACCTTCACACTCTATGCTGCCGCCCTGTCAAGAAGAGCAAAACACTTTTTCCACACTATTGTTGAGTTGGGGTTTTTTTGTTTTTACTTTTGTTTGTTTCAGAACAACAATGATATAATTGAATATTATCATCATCATCAACATCATCATCGTCATTGTCAACATAATTAACAACATCATCATAATATTAAGAAAATGATCGTAGAATTTCGACTGGTTTTTTTTGGCTCTCCTATAATGTTGCAAAAACTGCACATACTGTACGGTAGAATTTCGACTTTATTTTTTCCCCCCCCAAAGCAAGTGCGTCCAGGTTCCTCCCTCACCTGTACAAGCGCACCCTTCACCTGTATCCCACACCTGTACAAACTACACCCTCTCACTGTACCAGGTACTCATACTTCCCTCGCCTGTACCCTCACCTGCACTAGGTAAACGCCTCTCACCTGTATATAGGCTGTATCAAGTACTCGTACTTCCCTCACCTGTTTCAAGTACTCGGACTTCCCTCACCTGTTTCAAGTACTCCCTTCTCACCTGTACT